TGATAACCCAAAATTCATGTTTCTTATTTTATTGAAAAATAAAAAGTCAAAAGAATTCTTACTATGTGAGAATTGGAGTTGCATACACATAAACAAACTTTACCTATTAACTATTGTATAACGTATTTTTATAATCCCTTATTTTAAGCAATTAAGATTCATAATTAAAACCAAAAGTTCAAAATGTCTATTCCTTACCTATTTATTTCAGGAATAGTTGCATGATTATTTATTTTCAGAATTTAATTAATAATTTTCCAAGATAAATTTGGTATCAGATTAAATTATGAAACTCTAAAGACTATATATATTGGATTGGTTATCATCCCATTGGTAATAAAATCCTCAAACAAACTCGAGCAAAGCATTAATGATTTCTTAAAGACCCCAAAACTTCACTAATGTCGAATAATAACGTCAAAACTACTCTCAAAACTGCTCTCAAAATTTCACTAAGCATAGAGCAAAACCAACAAGTCTCAAACAAAAACCAAAACCTGAAGAAGGAATAGTTTGATGATAAAAATGGAGGAGGTCGTTGTACCAAAACCTGAAGAAGGAATAGTTTGATGATAAAAATGGAGGAGGTCGTTGTTGGGTGAGTGTGGCCATTAAAGGCGTCATGAGTGCTTGAAAAATAAAATGATATAGCGGTACATGAACTCAATGGAAGTGTGATCCCTCGTGGAGCATACTAAGCAAACAATATTTGCTGATACTGGATTGAGCTTGACGAGCTAGGCCAGTCGGTTGGAAAAAACCTATGTTATCTGAGGGCATAGAAAATTATCTAATAAGGGTTCCAATAGTTCTGTGATGAGGTCGGAGTATGTCCGGATGAGTTAACCGAGAGACTGTGTAACCCTTGTGTGTGATGGTGGCCTTCAGAGACGGGGGTCAAAGCCTCATCAACGAGTCATCACACAACATGTAAAATGATAACTGTTTCAGAAAAGCGAACCACCTTTTAAGGTGAAGCTTATGCATGCGAGAGATACCTTTATGCGCCTTATGCGCCATAGGAGTTGTGGTTGCATCAGATTTAAGTGATCTTGGTACGTCTCTAGGAGAGAACCTGAAATCCACAAACTGAGATTAGATCATTTGGCTCATCGGCCAGCCTTTGGTGACTCACTAATGAGTCATTGTATGGACTGTGGGTCATGAGAAACACGGGTAAATCTTGGTACGTCTTTAAGAGAGAACCTGAAATCCACAAACTGATATTAGATCACTTGGCTCATCGGCTGGTGACTCACTAATGAGTCCTTGGATGGACTGTGGGTCATGTGAGAAACACGGGTAAATCTTGGTACTCTAGGAGAGAACCTGAAATCCACAAACTGAGATTAGATCATTTGGCTCATCGGCCAGACTTTGGTGACTCACTAATGAGCCATTGTATGGACCGTGGATCATGAGAAACACGGGTCGATTTGATAAAGCAAGTGTGGACCGTAGTCCATAGTTGAAGGTAGAATGCCTAATCGTTTATTTATTTAATTCCTAGACCATATGTATCATTTTCCCATCTAATGAATTTAATTATGTTTGTTTAATAATATATGATTTTTAGAATTATTATTTGAATTTTTCTAAATCTTTAGATATTTTATTTATCAATTTTGGATTTATAAAGACATAGATATTAATTTTAGATTGATTTAAAAATTCAAATTTAATTTATTGAATTTTTAAAAATCATATACTTAATTTTAAAAATTTTAATATTGCATGGGATGCCCAGTATGTAATGGGCCCACCATTGCATGTGGGTGGGGCCCATGAAGTACCACCTAAGGTGGCACATCCCACCCTAATAAAACTTTACTTGTGGTAGTTCAAGCTTTGGCTTGAAGAGAAAGCTTTTGAAGTGTTTTTGAAAGATTTTGTCTTGAGGAAACTTTCAAAGGATTTTTGAAAAGCATAAAAAGACTTGAGCATAATTTTGGCAAGCACTATATTATGAATGCAATTATTTTATTTAATTTTTATTTATGAGAAAATGGTTTAGAAATGGAGATAAATATTCTAACACCTTCCATATTGTTGATGACCCATCTATATAATGGAAGGCTCAAATTTCTCACCCCACAAATCACTCAAGATCAATGGTTCATATTCAATCTCATAAGAAAAACAAACCAAGAAAAATCCTAATCTTGTTCAAAACCTATAAAAAAGAATTATCTCTACCAAAAATCTCTACACCTTATCTTTCTATCTCTCTCTCTTAAGAAAAATTTCTCTCTCTCTCATGCGAGCCCAAAGAGGACATACCCCACTCTCTCATCTCTCATCTTTGAGATCTCTCTCTCACGTGAAAGAACCTATGGGGTTTAGGCTATTGATAGTTGTCATCTTTCTCATGGTGTCTCTCATGATTTCCCATATCTCATTGATATTTTTTTTAGACTATAATGTTATGGTAGAAAAGAGAAGTATTTCTACCAAACTAGGTTGCTGAGGGGATTTACCTAAGGGTTTGAGATATGTGATAAAGGAGTTCATAATTTCATCAAAGGACTTGGCCTAAATTTACTTTCCCGGTTGAGATTGAAGGTTGATCGTTGATCCCGCGGCATCGGATGGTGGTGATTCAGTGTGGGGTGTAATAAACTCGGTTGAGGTAATTTCCAGCACTCTCTTTTATTTCGTATCATATTTAATTATATTGTCTTTATATTCTCAAGCATATGAATTGTGGATATTTTCTTTGTTTAAAGAAAATTGATTTAATGACATCAAGGTTTTTAAGATCTTGGATTATTTAGTTTTATTTTTCTATTTTTCACCCATTTTCTTTTCTTTTAACAAAGATCACTTATAAGTAGTCTTATTACTATAACTCTTGCTTTAAAGCAAAATAAAACTAACAAGTCCAATATCTTAAAAGCCTTGATGCCATTAAACTAATTTTCTTTAGACAAAGAAAGTATCTACAATTCTTATGCTTGGGAATATAAAGACAATAAAATTAACTATGGAAAGAAACAAAAAAAAAGTGTCAGATATTACCTCAACCGAGCTTATTACACCACACATCGTGTCACTACCATCCGATGGCACGGGGATCAACGATCAACCTTCAATCTTAACTGGGAAAACAAGTTTAGGCTAAGCCCTTTAATGGAACTATGAACTCGTTTATCACAAATCTCAAACCCTTAGGCGATCTTCTTAGCAACCTAATTTGAGAGAAACATTTCACTTTTCTACTCCAATCCTATAGTCTAAAAAAACCCTAATGATGAGAGATGAGAGATCATGAAAAAGACCATGAGAGAGATGTCAACTCTCAATAGCTTAAACCCCTTAAGTTCTTTCACAATGTGAAAGAGAGAGATCTCAAAGATGAGAGAGTAAGGCATATTCCCCCTTTGGGCTTTCATGAGAAAGAGAGAAACTTTTTTTAAGAGGGAGGAAGATAGAAAGATAAGATGTAGAGATTTTGGGTAGAGACAGTATCTTTTTATAGGCTTTGAACACGATTAAAGTTTTTTAAAGTTTTATTGGTTTACCTCTTCTTATGAGATTGAATATGAATCATTGATCTTAGGTGACTTGTGGGATGAGAGATTTAAACCCTCCATTCCGTAGATGGAGCCATCAATATTATGGAAGGGGCTAGAATATTTATCTCACATTCCTAAACCATTTTCCCATCAATATAAATTAAATAAAATAATTACATTTATAATATAATGCTTACCAAAATTATGCACAAGCCTTCTCATACTTCAAAAAATCATTTGAAAGCTTTCTCAAGGCAAAATCTTTCCAAAACACTTCAAAGCTTTCTCTTGAAACCAAAACTTGAACTAACACAATGAAAGTTTCATTAGGGTGGGGTGTGCCACCCTAGGTGGTACTTCATAGGCCCCACCCACATGCAATGGTGGGCCGATTAACATATTGGGCCCCCTATGTAATATTAAAATTAATTATATGATTTTTAGAAAGCTATAAAATCAAATTTGAATATTTAAATCATCTAAAATCAATATCTATGTTTTTATGAAACCAAATTTGATAAATAAAATATCCAGAGATCTAGAAAAATTCAAATAATAATTCTAAAAATCATATATCATTAAAAAATATATAATTAAATTCATTATATAAAAAAATGTTCCATATGGTCTAGGAATTAAATAAATAAACATTGGGGTACTCCACCTTTAACTGTGGACTACGGTCCACACTTATTTTGTCAAACCGACCTAGTGTTTCGCATGACACAACAATCTATGTAGGGGCTCATTAGTTAGTATCAAGGTCTGGTCGATAAGCCAATTTGTAGATTTCAAGTTCTCTTCTAAAGACGTATCACACAATCCCTAGGCTTACTCATCCGAGCATTCTCCGACCTCATCAATGGATGAACTATTAGATATCAATTAGTTTTTTATGCCTAGATAACATAAGTTTTTTCCAACCGACTGGTCCAGCTCGTCAAGCACAGTCCGGTATCAACAAACATTGTTTGCTTAATATAGTTCATGAGGGACCACACTCCCACTGAGTTCATATTCTACTATATCATTTACAACCAGTCCACACATGTGGGTTCTATGGGTGAACAACAATATAGTCTGTCGTTCCAGATGACCTGTCAAATACTAGCTAGTGCTCCCACTGGAATATTTAGTTTATCTGGATCTTTCTTAATCTCATCTCATTCTTCAGATGATAGAAATATGGTTTTATATGCATGGAGCTCTTATGAAATCGTTGCTCATTTGACACGCATATCGCCGCCGTATTGTCACAGAAAATCCTTACTGCCTCATAATGTACAGGGTGAAAATCAAATCGATTAAAAAATTTCTTAATCCATACGGTCACCTTGGCCGCCAAACAGCACGCACCTTGGCCGCCAAACAGCACGCCACATACTCTGCCTCCATAGTGGATTATTCTACCATATCATCTTTCTTTGATTTCCAAGAAACTGTACTCCCTCCAAGCATGAACACATATATCCAAATATAAACTTTGCATCATCTGGATCCGTGAGATAGCTTGTATCTGTATATTTGAATATCCAAGCAACTAAAAGAAACGTGAGATTGTAGCAGCTCCCACTCAATTATTTCATATATAACATAATTATTCTCAACATTCTTATGCATATATCATGAGGTAGCATCGCAAGCCTCTTGCAATATGTAATTCAATGTCCTTTGGTTTCACAATATGAAAAACTTTCCTGAACCACAAAGGTTCAACCACACTAGTCGTCGCAGCAGTAAATTAATACAAACCAAGTTATCTAATCAACACAACATATATCAAAAAAGCCTCTCAACATGACCTTCCTACAACATTCCCTATGGTTCAAGATCTTAGGCAATCGAGGATTCTAAATAACTATAAACATGAGGTCAAGGCATATGTGTATTTAAAAACTAATGCATGACAGTTTTTCTCCCACTTTTATAAACACGTTCAAGACACGATGTTTTTCTCTTTAATTAAAAAACTATTGACTTAGTGTATATATATATAGGATAATATAAACTTCACAACCCTTCAAATTACAAAATTTCAAGATGAAGAGAGTTGTGAAGGGTGGATTTATTAATTTTGTAGTCTATTTTTTTTTAAAATTACTTTTGTGGGACAATTTTGTAAATATGACTACAAGACAAATGGTAATTTCGTCATTTCTGTAACGGGTAAAGTTGAAATTTTAACTAAAGGACAATGATACTCTACAAATAAAGTTCTAGAACACTAACTTCCAAAATGTCATTGTACTTTTATTAAAATTTCAAATTTGCCCTTAGTTGATTGTAAAGTTACATATTTAAATCATTTTTAATAAAAAAGTAATGATTTTTAATAAATACACCCATCATAACCCTTTTTAACTTGAACCTTT